CTGGTAAACACTGTAGTTGCATTACTATCTGCCCTTAACAAAACGAAATACCGTGCAATTTCTTTTCTTGTTCCAGGACATCATGATAGCTGAGGCATCCACTAAAATCCATGGAAAACATGGGTGTCTCCAGCAGAGGCCAAAAAAATTTAGAAATAATCTTTGGCACACAACTGTTCCTGGTGTTATGATAATGTGGCAAAACCTAAATAATACAATAACTGAATTAATGAGGGGTTTCTGAAAAAGATTTGCTAGAGCAACAGGAATGTAATCACCTGAGCAGGTGCATTTTTCACACCTGAGTTTTAGAGACCTAGCACGACAATCCTGGCCTGGAGCTAGTGTGACCTCCAGCCTGAGCCTTGGAAGTTTTGAATGGTACCCCCAAACTGGTATAACCTGCTACTTCAGTGAGCAAAAATTCTGTCACCTCCTCCAAGTCGTTGATTAAGTTTTTGCAAAGGACATGAGCCAGGACAAGACAACTGCAATGCTTATTACTGCCCTCCATGCAGACCACAACACATTAGCATCTACCTTTTGAGCCCAAATACCCAGGCAGTTTACTTTTTGTACTTATCTGTTTTTCCACTCCTCATGGCTGTAATATCCCAACTAGGATACAGGAATATTGTGGGAAAAGGTCTGAAGCCTTGGTGAAGTCAAGGTAAATGATCTATTGTGTCCTCCCATCATCTATAATTCCAGACATTTTATCATAAAATGGCAATCAGATGGGTCAGGCATCATTCACCGTTGGTAAACCCATGGCCCCTTTTTCTAAAGACAAGTGCAACACTTGCATTCCCACAGCCATCAAGGATCTCCCCAGTCTCCAAAATATTTCAAACACTGTAGAGGGTGACTCCGCAAGATGGTGTGCACCAATGGATGCACACCAATCTTTTTGCCATTTACCCTTTGTAATTCTTAACTGAAGCTGGGCTTTGGCGTTCCTGACACAGAAAGTCTGATACATTTCCTGGCCCAGACATTGTTAAGAAATTTCTTCTCTGTAGCCTTTATCTGCTTCCAACTTTTCTATACTGCTTTTTCATTGAAGCTCCATCACAAGTAACATGCCCAGCTACACCAGGATATTTATCTAAGTAAATATCAGGACTGATCCTTCCTACATTTGGAGGATACAGTCCTTAAACTTGATCAAGCTTTTCTGGGTAACTTTCCTATCTGGCCCCCATGGGATCCTGTGAGTACCAGATACAGCTGTGTGCCACCTTTAATTGTCCAGAAGTTGTTGCTGACACCCTCTAGAAATCTTCACTGCATCCATCCTGCCACATTTGTCTATCAGCAGATATCAGAGACATGGAAGGTCCTCTCTTTCAGACCTAATGGATCCTTCAGAATTGTCCACACGACTTCTGAAATCCTTGCAGACTTAAACCCCTTAAGATTCATAGTCTCCTAAACTCTTAAAACTAGCAGTCCCCTTCAGAGCTCAGAAAGCCTCACTATGTTAAAAACAGAATCTGAAATTTCCATTACATGCAAAATGTGATATGTTGTCCAGGGGAAAAAACCCAACCCTTTTAAAACTGATTTTCATGCAAAAATAATGGTATTTTAAAAATTACTCTATTTCACCGTATTCACTGAACTCAAGGCATAATTATTTGAATGTCTTCTCTGAAACAGCTGAATAGAATGAATTCACAGGTTTCTTTGCTTATTCCTATACAAAAACTTAAGACCCTGTCTGTCTGAACTCCAAGAGAGAAAAGAAAAAAGAAATAATACGACACAGCTGATACCTTTAAATTAATGTGCACAATTTGGAGATGCCCATATATTTTTAATTGGGCAGCATGAGAAAAGGGATATATTCTCTGTTCAGGCTGTTCTCTTTTAGTCTAGCTTTTATGAAATGAAATGTAGTGAAATGAAATGAATCAATGAAATTCTGTTCAATTTAGTCATCTACATTTGATGCCAAAGGCTTCTCAAACAACAGAGCTTAGAAAAGTTTCTGTCTTTCATCATTCCAAATTCGTAAAAGGAGATCAAACTCTATTCATCTTGCAGCATATCTATGTCTGGTTCATGTTCTCCTTTATCAGCTTAGCTTCTTTGCTAGTATTTATCACACTGTCTGGTTTTATGGGGGTTAAGGCAGGACATGTGTGCATGAATTAATTCAGTGCCAGAGCTTCTTCAAGCTCTGTTCGTAATTTCATTATTATTTTAATCTGGATCTCTGAATAGACATAGCATGTGATTTTTGTATACTGCAAGTTATTACTTAATGAAAGAGTCAAGGATGCTTTATAGAAAAAGAGAACACTTTTTGTACAACTAAAGAAACTTTGATGTCTAAATAACCAGTTTGTCAGCTCTGAGTGGGCTTATGAAAGGGTTGTGCTATAGAACCATGTCAATCAATCACTAAAGCACCAAAGTCCCTATTATTGAAAAACTGTTTTCCTTATAAAATTATATACTGCAGTCATATTATGCTTAAAGTTTTGCTTCAGCATAAACTCTCTTCAGGACTTCACTATAAAAACATATTTTAAAATGTTTGCAACATTTTTTTCTAAATAAGTTTATCAGCCTTAGTGAGAATACAATTTGTTTCTTGCATTATTTTACAGAGAAAAAAGCTGTTAATATCTTATTAGCTATCAATATTTAAATATTGTTAAAAGTGATATTTTTAAGAGTGATCTTAAAGATTTTTTTAAAACTAGGACCAAATGCTCTTAAAGTATTAGCTAAAAATACAATATCTATTACGAATATTAAACATAGTGCTATAATTGCTGCATAGTATACCTAGAATACATTTAATAAATATAACTGTTATCACAGTTTACAGATTAATATTTGCAAAATAACTAATGATTGCATGGGATAATATTTCAGAATTACTGTTAAACTCTTCCCAATCATGGGAATGCTTAATTGGGTAAGTGTGATATACATCAATCAACTCATTTCCTAAACAACAAATACTTGTCAAGCTTGGAACTCAAGAATCATAAAAATCTAATTCTGACACTATACTGATATTTCTCTTTTCAAACAGCAACAAAATACTTGGAGGAATAAATGTTTAATGTTTAATGTTTAATAATCATGTTCCATCATGAAAAGGGTTTTATGATAGTATTGGTAATTTCTTATAACTGTTACACTAATTCTTCTTCTTGTTTCCTTTGACACAAGAAAGAACTGTGATGGTTCAATTATATACTTCCAGACTTTCCACATGCACTAAACATCCTTCTTAGACTCAGTGGCTAGCAGTGTTTCTCTGTGATTCTCTAGGTGGTATTTCTGGTATCCTCAGAGTTACTTCTTGTCTTGAGAGATGTAGTCTATTAAAAGTCTACTAAAACAACACCCAGTAAAAGAAGTTCTCTCCTCTTAACAACATCACATGTACTTTTGCTGAAGATTGTGACATACATGTGCACTTTGCACAAATGTATTTACAGTTGATATGTATCTGAATTTCAGTATTTCCCTAAAATTATCCAAATTAATGAAGGCATTACAGTTAAGTCACTATCCAACTGGGCACGTCACGCATACAGATTCTTTAACGCAGAATTAGGAAATTTCTTGTAATTGCGGATTTACATCCTTTCACAGAGTGAAAGGGCTGTGAATGCCGCAATTACAAGCAAGACCTGTTACTCCACTGGTCTTGTTGCAAAAGCAGAAGGACACTGTCCCTCAGCAGATCAAGGCATTTGGTACCTTCCACACAGGAACTACAAGGAGATGGGCATTCCTATAAGTAGACTTTCTAATGTTATTTTTTTTTTTTTAGTCCTCATTAGTATAAGAGAAGAAATACCCAGGCTGATATGTAGAAACCAAACCAACATAAAATATTTTTAAAACTCCTTAAAAATAGAACCCTAAGCCACACAGAAAACAATTATAAGTTTTCCATGTTCTCTGTGATTTATGACATGCATAAATGCATATCTTTCTTGTGAGCTGCATAAGGGAAAAATTATATGTGATCTAAGATGTTTTGCACTGTAATCTCTATGACAGTAACAGTGCTGTAAAGAATTCATGTAGGGGAAGACCTTTCACAGGAATTCAAGCACTAAAATTTGTATTAGTAAGTAGGACTGAAAATTAACATACTTTCTTTTTAGTGAGCTTAAAAATATTTATATTAAGATAAAGTGGTCTTCACTTAGTGACAGAGGTGTAATAACAACAGATAACAGAAAGATAACTTTCTTCAGTAGCCAGGGCAGAGCTGTAGAAATTTATTATTATGGTTTTTCTTGTAACAAGTCTATTCAAGTTATCAGTGTATCACAACTGCTTGTTAAGAGCAAATTAGCTTAGCTTCAATATTCACTGATGCATTTTATTACATTCTGACTAAAGCTGTATCTTAGAGACATCTGGAACTTACTTTTTAATCTATTACATGTAAAATTCCATTATAAATATTAAAATATATATCACAGTATAAAGTTATTAAATTTATTTCTGAATTATATAGCTGCTTAGCCTCAAGCATGAAGTAGTGATAATTACCTCTGAGCTGTAATTAATTGGGCAAACAAATTGTTAAATTTTAGATGCTGATAAATAGGAGAAAGAAGCTGAAAAACCACAGCAGCTGTCAGCAATATTTTAACTAAGGAATTCTGTATGAGATAAAATTACAGCAACCACATTTATAAAATGTCAACTAAACAGAGATTATGAGACAACAGTAAAATAAATTCTCATAGAATGATTAGAATTCACTGCAATCTAAAGCATCAACAACCTCAATATTTCAAAAATTATTACTAATGCAGAAATTCTGTATGAGGAAGTACATTCAAAGATAGATTTTTCTAACACACTTTCAGCCAAAGTACAAATTGCAGTTGAGAAGAAAGAAAAAAAGAACCATCCATTACCTACTGAGGAGCTGGTTTACATACAAAGTAAGTGAAGGGGTGAGGCAGGGAAGAGAAATCAAGAATGGAAAATTAAAAGAGGACACTTACTGGGGAAAACCACATCACTTTAAGAATCCAAATTGTCAAAGAAAAATTCACAACTAGGATGATAAGCAGGAGGAGAACAAACAGGTAGAGACAACGCTTTCTCCAGCCATAAATTCCAATTTTGTAGATATATTCATTCTTCGGCCTCTCTAGGCTCGTGCCTGGTGTCGTTGTCATATATTGTTCACGTACCATCTGCTATGTAAAGAAAAAAAAAGAAAGGGAACTGCTTAGTTGCTTAATTTCAGCAACAATATTTATATAAAATTCCAAGGAAAATATAAAGATATAATTGTAATAGCTAGGAGCTAGAAACTCTTATGAAGTTTTACCTGGAAAGCATTTTTATCCTGCCCTTTTCATCTTACATCTTAGTTTTTGATACACTCAATGTGATGTTTTAATATATGAACTGCATTAACTGCTGCTTTCAGGAGGCTTAAATTTATTTCATCCTATAAAGAAATGGCAAAACTTTCCTCCCATTTGTCATAATATTCTAATTCTCCAATCATAAAATCTTTCATGGGATCATATCACAATCTACAGCTCACAAGTATGTATCAGTTGGAATGCCAATATATATTAGGCCTCAGAGTATGTACGTAAAGAAATTAAATTGTTCTTTATGATGTAGAGGGAAGAATGATTTCTCAATTAATCAGATACGCATATTTAAAGATATATCAACATTAAAAACATTGCCTACTGGGTTTAAACAACTTCACTTTATACTATAGTTCTTAAAGAAGCACAGTTTGAATTTAAAGGAATCTTACAAGGCTGCACTTCCTTAAAACATGAGAATATTCACTAACTTCCACTTTTACAGCACAGAGACCACCAACAATTCAAACCACTCATTAAAGATTACAATTTTGGCCAAAAGAATAAAAAACTCAGCAGCTGAAGCTGCTTATCAAGAACAACAGTGGGCAATATGTGTCTCATTCACACTGAGATAAAGCAAAAATCCCCAACCCAATCATGGATGTCAGAAACAAAATAGGTATTGTAAATTGAAGCCCTTCCCATGAGCCAGGTATGTCCATAGGCATCTTACATCCAAAAAAGTGGTCGACTTTCTTGTAATATAATACTCCCAAATGAGAGTGCCTTCAGAAAGGTTTCACACAAGGTCTACTCTCAATTCTGAATTTCCTCTTATCAATGAGATCACCATGCTCACCATGCTCCTCACACAGCTGTCAAAACATGATCAAAAGACATCCTTGCCTCTGTTCAAGTTTCCTGCAGAGCCATCCTGTGTCTGTAACATGCTTGTGGCTCTCAGTTCTTACCCTCATTGTTAGAAATGTGTAATTTTTTTTTCTTTATGTCATCCTTCCTTTCCTTTCTTCATAGCAGGACAGAGAATGCCATATAAGTTTACAGCTGAACAGAAACCTATGCATTAGTCCCCATGCAGTTGTCATTTCTGCACTTCCACCAAAATAATTTAATTTCTTTTTTATTTATATTCAAAAAATGAGACCAAATAATCGGCAGTTCATAATGTAATTTTACATACAGACATTATGGTATAATAATTTTTTTTTCTGCTATCAGTTTCAGTTGCTCATAGACTATGTATATAAATATTTTCATTGCTGAAAATAGTATAACAATTTATTACTGAGGAATTATAGATTCTGAAATAACTTGGCTTAATCTTAGTGCAAAACATTTACAAGATTAACAAGATGTTATTTAATATTCACCAGATGAACTATGTTTGTTTAAAGATATCAGATTACGTATTTTAGTTCTGTGTATTACTCAAGCACATAGTACTCATTACAGAATACTGTTTAAATTGATACTATTTTTTTTCTCTTTTCTACCTAATTATTGTATAGTAAACCATACAGAGTTTGCCCCTTATCTTAAATATCTGTTACTATGTAACTGCCGTAAGATAATGGGACATTTATACATACAATGGTTTCCATAAGATGATTAGACAAACCTTCACCCGTACTTCCACACAGATTTTCTTCTCAACACATAACTTACAGAACAGGATGCAGAACTCATATCTGGTAACAACCCGAGACAAACTTTGAGAAATAAGCTGGGCAGTTAAGGAGTTAATTAATTGTAACATCTTCATGGTCTTATGCAGCCTCATTACAGTGGTCTCTGAGGCTGGAATTCATCTCACAAAGTTAGATACGAACAATTTATCCCCAATCAACCTGGACTTCCTTTATGGTTAATGGAGATAGGTCTCCTTGCTGGGAATTATTTATCTGACTCATGTTAGATGTAAATTTTAGACATCCAATGGATTGCTTAACTTCTCTCCATTAAAAGAGAAAGAAAGAGAGCCTGTCATGACTTTCTCATATGTGTACAGCTATATGTTGTAGACACTTCTACCAAAATGATTTCCAAAAGTATGTAATTTAACAAGAAGATAGGACTTTTCCGATTCCTGTTCTTCTCTGTTCTATTTTTACCCAGTTGTAAAATGTTTATTTAGTGAGTTGAGTGTTTTATACATAATGCATTATGTACTGCTGTTTAATGAGGTGTGGTCAAAATCCATTATGCATTTCAGCAAAAAGCCTATGAGTTTTGTGATTGTTTTCAGCCCTTCAGAAATTCCACAAGGGACATATCCCAGCACAGCATTGTTCCCTGCATGGATTATTTTTTCCTGACAGAAAACAGTTCTATTGTTTCTGAGCATTATTAATACTGCCAAAAATCACTTTGGTCATAGTAAATAGAAAGTGCTTGCCTAGACAACTGAATGCTTTGAGAAGGATTAAGTGTTTCTCCTTAACATAATATTTCATGATTTTTAAGAGATTTAGTGTCCTACTAGTATACAATTACAGCGGAAATCCTTTCAGAACTGATACGGTTAGGCTGTTTCTTTTGGGAAAATCAACTTTCCATATTACTGACTTGTATGTTCATGAGCAAAAATCACATAGGAAAATCATCTCCAACCTGTCTGGAGAAGTCAGAAAGAAATCTTTTTGTAAGTCTGGGATGTTTTATAAGGTAAGCTGAAAGGAAAACCTTAGATAGACAGACCTCATAGTTGTGTCGTGAAGTCAGCCAAGGTTCAAGATAGACCCATAGAAGAAGAAAAACAGGTATTTAGTACTCTGATGAGAAATGTGGTTTCTAAGTGGAATAACCATGAAACTGGTTGCACAGGAGCATTCTAAACAGGCACCAAAAAGGAAGCGGTGACTTAAGACACCTGGATGTACACAAGTTAGTTGCGTTAGGAGAAGCAAGAAACCTGAAGAATGAACAATGACTTTGGTAAATGTTATCTTTTTTTCTGTTAACTGTTTTACAAGGAAGCAGCACACAGTGACTAAGAGTAAGAAATACTGGCAACCCACAGGGCAGATAAAATGGCAATTGAGTTTCAGAATTAAAATTCTTACATCTTTCAAATGGGCCATGAAAATGTCTTACTTGCATCAGGTCAGCAGTACCACAATAAAAAAGCTACTACAAATAAACTACTTAATTGGAAGTGGAATTTCTTGGTGTTTCTATTCAATGACCAACACAATCAGCACATTCTCTATGGATTTTTGCAGATTTGGCCATAATTCACGGGATCAAGCTCTATCACAATAGTTTGTTATTTAGAAGTATTTTCTAATTGTCGACATCTATTTTACTGGGATCCATTTAAATCCAATTATTTCTTGCTTATTTGCTGATTTAAACTAGATACTGAATGCTAATTAACTGCCAAAAGATTTTTTACAGATTTTAAATGATAGATCAAACTCGTGAACAACCAGTAGCACTGCAGATTTTTGACCTCATGAGATTTCCCATGTGTTCAGACATTGTATGGGTTGCATGTAAGGCATGAAATTCATGCCTGTAATAATACATATGAGCTACCCATCGAAGAGCTGTATGCTCTTCACACTTATAATTGTCCTCTAAAAATATATAACCATGACAGAACATTTCCCTGGCTCTAATGCACCTTTTTCGATGCAAGACTTAGAAACTGGTCTCTGTCATTTGAGAGATTCTAAAGTCTAGGAGATTTTTATATTAATATTGATTAATGAAAGACTTTGAAAAACTGTCTATCACAAATGTTACTGTTGGACTGAGGTTAGTTTGGGCATCAAGTTCAAAAACCTATTCTGACAGCTCTGAAATATTAATTTAAGACAGTTATGTTTTTAAAAAGTAATTTGAAAACTTATCCTTCAGTCTGCTTAAGAAAGCTAGCCTGAGTAAAAGCATTATATTTGTACTATTTTCAGGAATGACTTATCTGTAGGAAATACTGAAGACAGCATTGAAAAATTCCATTAAATAAGTAATTTCAGTATATTTCAACTGTAAAAATATATTTTCATTGTTTTTGTTCATAAACAGCTGTTATTTTCATGTAAATAAAATTCCCCTTTACACTTAGCTCTGAACTGTGTTACTCATGTACTTTGTCATGTTGTCACAAAGCAACTGATAATAACACATAATTAGAAAACAATTTAAATACAAAACTACTTAGTTGATTAATACTTACAACCAGTGGTAATTCCATTAATAATTATGTAATTATTAGCATTTTGTATTTTCAGCAAAAAGCTTAGCATTCAATAAAACCTTTTCAGAAGAACTGGTGAGGTTTCATGATGAAATTTGCACCACTGGTGCTTGTACAATGCATGTTCTTCACAGTCATCAGTGCATCTACTCTTTCCTCTTGTTCTGGTTTTGGCCAGGACAAGGTTAATTTTTTGCAGCAGCTGGAAGGAGACATTGTTGAAGTTGTGTGTCCAGGACCCTGATGTTTTTCTATACCCGAGGAGGTCATTGCCAGGGTGGGGGAGAAGGGACTCTGGCTTCTGAGGAAAAGAGCATTCCTTTCAGTGGAAAAACGCATGCTTGGGATGAACTGATTGGTATTTTTTATTGTCACAGGCTTTCCATGCAAGTAATTTCTTTGTGCTATACCTTCTCTTGTTAATGCTGTTGCTTTTACTGCTCTTTTTCTTATCTTATTGCTGTTTCCAGCAAACTGTTCTTATCTCAACCTATGATCCTTGCCTTTTGTGCTTCCAATTGGAGGGGAGGGGGAGCAAGTGGCAGCATGGTTTTGATAGGAACACTGAATTGGAGAACACCCACCATCTCTAAAACATGACACTACTTTACATGAAGTATATTCATTTACATACAAGAAAATTCAC